TAATTGTAAATTTATCCTATTGTAACTAAATCAAATAGTAAGAATAATAAGGCTAAAATGATAGTAACTGTAATATTTCTCTAAATTTAAATTACTATTTTTGTTTCTAACAAATATATGTGTTATCAATATTTGTCATTTTGATTTTTTTTATAATTATAAAATCAATTTTAAAAATCATATAAAAAATAATATTCTCAATAATTTTTAGTTTTTAAACAGAAAAATCAATAATAAAGTAAAAGAAAAGGTGTTTACCAAAAAAAAAAGTAAAAGAAAAAGTATAACCTTTCATAATGAATTAACATAATATATCTACTTGAAAAAGGGTATTCTAATATATTATAGAATTGTAAATAATCTGTACAAAGGGTTCTCTATTTATAGAGAATATTTGACCTACTTTTAACCTAATGGGCTTGGCCCAATACAACAAAGGGCTTGGCCCAATACTACAATAAAAAACTAAATAATAACTAAATCAATATTATTTACAACACTCCCCCTCAAGCCGAGGAATATATATTCATCATTCCCAGCTTGCTAGTAAGTTCTTGAAATCTGTCTGAAGGAAGCCCCTTTGTCAATAGATCAGCCAATTGACGCCCAGTGGGAATGTATGGAGTGGTAATCAACCCGCTATCAAGTTTCTCTTTGATGAAATGGCGGTCAACCTCAATATGTTTAGTCCGATCATGTTGAACTGGATTATAAGCTATACAAATAGCGGACTTATTATCACGTAGCAGCTTCATAGGTCCCTCACATTTTATTTTGAGATCATCAAGAACAATTTTCAGCCACAGTAACTCACAAATGTCTTGAGCCATAGCTCGAAATTCAGCTTCTGCACTTGATCTGGCAACCACATCTTGTTTCTTACTTCTCCATATCACCAAGTTACCGCAAAGAAACATGCAATAACCAGTGGTAGAACGACGGTCAGTCACGGATCCAGCATAATCAGCATCTGTGTAGACTTCTAAAGATAGATTGCCATCACGTCGGAATAACAATCCTTTACCAGGAGTACCTTTAAGATACTGAAGAATTCTCTCTACTGCCTGCATGTGTTTTTCTTTTGGATCGTGCATAAACTGACTGACAACACTAACAGCATAAGCTAGGTCTGGTCTAGTATGGGCCAGATATATCAATTTCCCAACTAGCCGTTGATATTGTCCTTTATCAACTAGAGGACTCTCTTCTTCATAGCCCATCTTGTGATTCTGCTCAATAGGAGTATTAGAGGGTTTACACCCGAGCTTTCCTGCTTCTTTGAGAAGATCAAGAACATATTTCCTCTGGATGATAAAAATTCCTTTGCTTGAATGAGCTACTTCTATCCCTAGGAAATATCTCAGTTTCCCAAGGTCTTTGATTTCAAACTCAGAGGCAAGTCGTGTTTGCAGAATCTGTCTCTCCACAAAATCATCACCTGTGATAATAATATCATCAACATATACAAGGAGCACAGTAAGCTTCCCATTTTGGGAGTGCTTAAAGAAAAGAGTGTGATCTCCTTGGCTCTGTCTGTATCCTAAGGTCATCATAACCTTAGTAAATCTTCCAAACCAAGCACGAGGTGACTGCTTCAATCCATACAAGGCCTTTTTTAATCTACAAACTTTATTTTCCCCCTTCACAGAATCAAAACTAGGCGGGATTTCCATGTAGACTTCTTCTTCTAACTCACCATTGAGGAAAGCATTTTTCACATCAAATTGATTTATATCCCAATTGTAATGGGCAGCAAGGGATAACAAGATTCTCACTGTATTCATCTTTGCAACTGGAGCAAAGGTTTCTTCGTAATCAATGCCATAGGTTTGAATGTAACCTTTGGCCACTAATCGAGCCTTATATCTCTCAAGAGTGCCATCAGAATTATATTTCAGGGCATAAACCCATCTGCACCCTACTGCTTTCTTTCCGTTGGGTCTATCAATAACCTCCCATGTTTTATTTTTCTCCAAAGCATTCATCTCCTCTTGCATGGCTTGAGCCCAATTCCTATCTTTCAAGGCTTCATGTACTGATTTTGGGATTGCAATAGAATCTAGTGCTGAAACAAAGCTTTTGTGCTGCACAGAAAGATTAGCAGAGGAAACAAAGTGGGAGATAGGGTATTGAGTACAAGAGGGACAGGAGGAACAAGTTTTCTTGTGACAAGATCTTTTTCCTTTTCTAAGAGCAATAGGTAAGTCATCAGAAGTAGAAGCAATGGGTAAGTCATTAGAGATATCAGAAGAAATAGACAAATCATGAGAGGAAATAATATTAGAATCAGAAACAGGAGATTCAGGAGACTCAGAAGAAATAGGAGATTTAGGACTTACCAGTGGTTCAGACGATTGAGGTTGCTGGTGAGACAGTATGGGTTGTATCTCAGGTGTATTTGAAGGTTCTGACACACCAGGAGCAGACACACTAGGAAGAGAGAAGATTGATCCAGACTCAAAGAAGGAAGGGGACGAGTCTTCTGAAGAACTATTCTCCCCCTGACGATGAGGACCTAGGAAATAAGATTCAGATTCTTGAAAGGTGACATCCATAGAAACAAAAAATTTCCGACTTGGTGGATGATAACACTTGTACCCTTTTTTATAAGGGTTATAACCAAGGAAGACACACTTAAGAGCCCTAGGATCCAACTTACTCCGATGTTGTTTATGAACATGGACAAAGGCAACACATCCAAACACTCTTGGTGGAAGGCTCTGCAATATGGGAACAAAAGGAAAGAAGGAAGTCATGGATTGAATAGGACGGATATTGTTAAGGACCCGTGAAGGTAAACGGTTGATCAAAAAAGTTGCAGCTAATACTGCTTCTCCCCAATAAGAACTAGGAACAGATGTCTGAAAAAGTAATGCTCTAGCAACTTCAAGAAGGTGACGATTTTTCCTTTCAGCAACCCCGTTTTGTTGAGGGGTATCAACACATGTGAGCTCATGAATCATACCTCTGTCTGAAATGAATTGTGACAGGCGTTGATTGACGTACTCAGTACCATTATCAGATCTGAGTCTTTTAATACCCTTACCAAACTGAGTCTCAACCATGTGATGAAACCGAATAAATATCTCTGGTACTTCAGACTTGTCTTTCATCAAGTATATCCATGTTATCCGAGTACAATCTTCAATAAAGGAAACAAACCACCTAGCACCTGAAACACTGTGCACTTTAGAAGGCCCCCAAACATCAGAATGGATAAGAGAAAAAGGTTCCCTGCTTTTAATAGTGCTAGAAGGAAATGACACTCGATGGTGTTTTGCAAATTCACAAACATCACAATGAAAGGTCTCAACCGACTTATTGAGAAACAGAGAGGGGAACATAGACTTCAAAAGACTAAATGGTGGATGCCCGAGACGCTTGTGATGGAGCCAAATCATAGACTCTGCAGTAGAAGGATGACGTGTCATTAATAACTGATTTTTGCTAGCATGGTCTGGAAGGAGATGATACAACCCATCCTGTTCATTAGCAACTCCAATTGTCTTCTTCGTGGTAAGATCCTGAATAAGACAATGAGAAGGAAAAAATGTGATAGAACAATTCAAATCAGTTGTAAGTTTTTGAGTGGAGATAAGATTAGTAGAAAGCTGAGGAACATAAAGAACATTTTTAAGAAACAAGGAAGGTTGAATTTGAATGTTACCAGAACCAATAGCTGATTTATGGGATCCATCAGCTACGGATATAGTATGACTACCAACAGTAGGATGATAAGAACAAAACAACTCAGTACGACAAGCCATATGATCAGTTGCACCAGAATCCAAAATCGATGAGGTTTTAAAATCAGTGCAAGAAGCAAGAAGAGATATAGAACGTGTGCTCTTACCAGATAAGATCGAAGAACTATCATGCTCGGCCATTCTTTAACAAAAAAAGTTAACAACCAGCGATAAAATCAACCAAACAGAATATCAAATGACCTCTGATCAGAAAAATAATTACAGATCCAGACAGAAGACAAGAAGACGAGAAGAATGGTGGTGGTCCGGTCCAAAAACACGGCCGCACGCGCCTCCACGCGCGGGAGAAAGGAGCTGTGCGTGGGATTCACTCGCCGGGAAAGGGGCGGCGCGTGAGAGCGCGTGGATGGGCTTCGCTGGCTGAGATTTTTCTGGTGTGGTCGTCCGGTGAGCGCGCACCTGTCTGTGGGTGGTCGCGGTTGAAAAGTCGCCGGAAAGTGGTCCAAACGGTGAAGACAGATCTGATTGGAGGCGGTCGGAGGTGTTTCGGTCGTTTGTGGCGGAGGAACACTGCGTAGAATGATAGATCGGAGGAAAAATAAGGTCAACAATGGTCCCCTTGGTCCAGAAGGTCCCCGGAAAAATTTTCCGATGGCGGCTAATGGCGGCAAGAGGCAAAGAAATTAGGGTTTTGTTAAAAAAGAAGATAATATGTGCGGAAGCAAAGCCCTCAGATCGAGAGCTCTGATACCAACTTGAAAAAGGGTATTCTAATATATTATAGAATTGTAAATAATCTGTACAAAGAGTTCTCTATTTATAGAGAATATTTGACCTACTTTTAACCTAATGGGCTTGGCCCAATACAACAAAGGGCTTGGCCCAATACAACAATAAAAAACTAAATAATAACTAAATCAATATTATTTACAACATATCTTATTTATAAGAATGCAATAAACACAAGTATGAATTATATCTTCTTCGTAAATTTTTTTAATTTATATCTTTTATCAATTATATGCTAAAAAACTACCTTGTGAATGTCATTGTTATGCTGTGAATTGTGATAAACCGAAGGAAAAAAATATTAATTTTTTTAAAATATAATTATTTTAGTTAAAATTAATATATTTTTTTTAATATTTAAAATAAATAAAAAATTCACTTTCTCACAACATAAGTTTTGTTTTCTTATCATAAAATATAATAATTTTAATTAAAATATAATAATTTTAATTAAAATAATATAATTTTATGTCCTTTCAAATCACCAACACCGGTACCCACACCGAAACGGGAAAGGGGAAGCGGAAAAGCACATCAGAGAGACCAAAGGAGCTTAACTCCATTGAGTAGTAACAAACTCTGCTTCATGCCTTTCACTAAATATTAATATTAATAAATGAAACTGCGTTCAGCATCAAAAAAAGTTACCAGCAACCTTGGTGACAATGAAGGTTAGTTAATTCTTCTTCATCATCCTATGCTTTTCTTTCTTTTTAGGTTTTTTGTTTTTGTTTTCCGACTTGCTGTTTTGTACGATGATAGCTGCGAGTCACGTGATCGTTTTGTTTTCCGGCCAAACATGCCATGTTTATACAACACTTGAAATTTTGCTTTGCTTGTAAAAATGTATAATCGAATTGTGCCCCGATCTCTGTGCAAGAAATTTGTGTAAAAAAGTTATATAAGAGTTTGGGTGTACAAACATCACCACCACCTTAGTTTTAATTTGTTAAATTGTTAACTGGAAAAGAATTCTCATGTTAGTAGGAGAATTCTTTTTTTTGTGAGATATCGAATTATGTGCAATAATTTTTTATTTTTAATAAGTGATTGCCCTGTCACATCTTGTGTCTATAGTAGCCGAAAGAATTCTCTTGCAACATTGAGAAAAAAAGGAGCCCATTGTTAATTTTTGTTACATGATTGTGAATTATTTCTAGGGTTCCTTGATTCGTTTCCATTTTTCTACATTTTATTATTGGTTTTCTTTTTCTGCTATGGCATGATGTTTTGAGTCTCAATAGTCTGTCATTGTTTTTATCAGTGGTTTTTGTGGAGCTAGAAACAGAAATCAACTCAGGATATGGAACCGAGTTTGTCTATGATCCACAGGGAGAGAAAACCGAGCCTGTAAGAGATGTGGTAGGAAGTGTTATTTCATCATTTCCATGTAATTTCAGCAATGTTCCCCAGCGATTGCGAACAAAGAGGAAGAGGAAATTCGATGAGCAGGAAGCACTCTCTATACCCAAGAAAAGGCTAGACAGTAGAGTCTTTGATGATTACTTGAAGTGAGTTACAGTCTAATGATTGATGATGTAAAAGGGGCAACATCAAAATTATAGCCTTGTTTTCTAAATATAATTTTTTTTAACAGGAAAATATGGAAGAGTTTCCCAGAAGATAAGAGGAGGCCCTTTGCATACTTTGACAGCTTATGGTTTAGTCTTTACAGGACTGCTTCATCTAAAGACAAGGTGCTGACTTGGATTAAAAAAGAACATATTTTCTCAAAGGCATATGTTTTTGTTCCAATAGTCTGCTGGTAAATGCACTCAATATCCTTTATTGCCAAAGAGCCTTTTTTTTTGCTTGTTAAATGTTAATCCAAGGAGTTTGTCCTTTGAAATCCCAATCTTGTAGGAGTCACTGGAGCCTTTTGATCTTCTGCCATTTTGGTGTGAGCTTGAAATCAACTACCAAATCGCGGTGCATGTTGTTGCTGGATTCTCTTGAAATGGCCAATCCAAGGCGGTTTGAACCAGATATTAGAAGGCATGTCTTTGTTCAAAATATCTATTTATTTAATTCAGGCATTATTATCCAGTCGGAGTATTTAAAATATGCAAGCTTTTGTCTTAATTTTCAGATTTGTACTAGACATTTATGAAGCAGGGGACAGGCCTGAGAGTAAGAATCTCATATCTCGAATTCCATTATTGGTGCCCAAGGTACTTATGACCCCTTCAATGATTTTCCTCCCCAATGTAACCAAATAACCAATGATTGAAGAAAAACAAATTACTGTAGGTGCCACAACAAAGAGATGGTAATGAATGTGGAAACTTAGTCCTCTATTTCATTTACTCGTTTTTGCAACGTGCGCCTAAGAATTTTACCATGAAGGAGTACCCTTACTTTGTAAGTTTTCTCTTTTGCTATTCTTGAAAATCATTTATTAAAACATACATTTTGATTCAGTTTAGTTTGACATTGACATGCTGCAGATGAAAAAAGAATGGTTTACCTTTGAAGACTTTGATGGGTTTTGTGGTAGACTTGATTCATTGAATTAGATGTCTCCAAATTTGAGTGAACTAGATCTAATATACATCTTGTTGATTAATTTACATTGCATACGGGGTAAGGGGAGATTTATTCATATAGGGGCAGACATACCTGGTTGTTTTATCCGGTAGAGAGAGTGCTCTCTTCCATGTTCATATTTATTGGAATTTCATTTTGTGCTGGAATTGATGTTTACAGTACTCGTTTGCTTTTTATTTATGCAGTTGTTAAAGTTATATATCTTGTTCAGATTTGGTAGGAGCAGTATTTGTGTTATGAGTTAATAAAATTCGGCAAAAATGTAGAGTTTAACAGATTGTTAATAATGTTATTGACGATATAATGAAATTGGAATATGAGTTTCAACTTGGTGAACATGATCTGTTTACGTGTATGCAAGACTTCATGGAAGGTGATGAAAAACTTTTTCTGCAACAGAGAAATAATACAGATAAGAAAAAAATGACATGGGGCGAATTTAACCTTTTACGAACTTCGTTCTATTATCTTATTTCCAAAACACATTTTAGGATACCAGTAACGTAATGCTAAGCAGAACTAATTACTATGCCGCATGATAGTCAAATTACTAGTGTAAGAGGAGACAGCAGTGCAACACTGACAAGATTTAGAATCTCTTTAGCACCTCTCTTTTTTAAGTTAAAAATTATTTTTAGGTTAAAGCTAAAAAAAAAAAGAGCTTTAGAAATAAAACTAGAAGTATAAATTTTTTAAATTAAAAGTTGTCCATTTCAAAAAAAAAAAATTGATACAACTTCAAAAAAGTTATTTTTAGGAGTTATTGACTTTTGATTTTTTTCTATTTTCACTTAAGCTTGAGTTGTTGGGTGAGGTTACATTAAACTTTTGGATTGAATTGATTCTTTACATGGTATCAAAGCTACAGTGTCCTAGGTTCCAAAATTATGGTTCCAAAATTTTATGGAAATGGAGATGATACTTAGGGATGACTAATCCATATGGAGCAATATTTTCAAACAAAGAAAACTCAAGAAGAAGAGAAGATGATAAAGGCTGAGGAGGGGCTTAGAGGTTTTACATTCAATTGGTATAAAGGCTCAATCCTAATGCATGTTGAAGGAAATTTGAGAAAGCTTTCATAAAAAAATATCTTCACAAGATTTGTTTGGCAAAAGATGTAGAATCGGAACCTCAAAAAGCCAAAATTTGACGATCAACAAAATTATGAGTTTGAGAAGCCATAAATTATCGAAGGAAATGAGAAGACCAAGATAGTTGCAGAGAAGCAAACAGTTATTGTTGTCATAGAGAGAAACATAGTTGAAAAGGAGGAGTTTGGAATTCACAAGGAACTGAAGAATCAAGAAAAATCACGGTAGTAAATGAAAAACAACCCCTTGATTTTGCATTAATGTAGAATGAAAAAGAAGTAATAGTGAGGAAAAAGGTTAAAGGAAGAGTATTAGGGGTGTTAACTGACCAAGACTATTACGTGTTATGAATATAATTATGAGTTTGTTTTTTTCTGATGTTACTTTAGATAACTTTATCTAATGTTCATCAAAACGACGTTGTTTTGGGACGGAGATCATAGTATTTTTGTAATTTTAATTTATTTCAGGGTTATAATAGTCTTTATCACTCTAATTTTTTATTTTTCAACCCCAAAACGACGTTGTTTCGATGAACATTAGATAAAGTTATCTAAAGTAACATCGGAAACTTTTTTCCCTATAATTATTGACCTGTGGCTTGGCTTGTTTACAAAAACTAAAAGTCTGGTTTAACCTGTTTAAAAAAATAAGACAACAAAAATTTATCCAAACAAAATATACAATCAACAACACTAGTAATTCCATAAATATTCATAAATTCAATGTATATCCAAATAGCATAATATAGAACAAAATCATTCAAAAAGTCTGTTTAACCAATAAAATGGATGAAATGGATTGAGGAGAGAGAGAACTATTATAAGTAGTATAAAAAATATAATATAAAAATAAAAATTAATATATTATGCCAGCTTGAGAGGCTTTAAGGCCGAGTTTTTGAATTGGAGCTTGGGGTCTTTTTAATAAACGAGCTTTTATACAAATCCAAGCTTAATTCCAACAACTAATTTTAGACATATAAGCTCAGGCCTTCACGTGCCGAGCCAAAAGTCCCTGATTCGTTTATCACCTCTAAGGAAGATAACAGCGGCTCTGATTGCGTAGGTGCTGGTGTCGCCATAACCACCAACAATGCTAGTTGACCCACCACCGTTGCCAGACTCACTGAACGCAAACTGACCGGACCTAGATTATGATTGAGTCTGGCCCAATTCATCAAGAATAGAAGGGGAAAGTAGGGTTGTGCATGGGTCAGGTCGGGTCAGGTTTTTGTCCGACTCCACCCAACTTGATTTTTATAGGTCAGGTATTTTGACCCGGCCCGCTTTAATTTTATCCAAGTCAGGTCTGACATGGTTTAGATTTTGTTGAACTAATTCAGAACCGGTCGGATCTGACCTGACTTAGTTTTTGAAGTGAGTCAAATCTGACCTGGCCCGTTTTTGACTTGGTTTCCTCACAAAATTTTGTCGAAATTTCTACGTTGCAAACGACGAAAATTTCGTCACAAAATTATTTTTTCATCGGAATACTTTTTGTCGAAAAGAGACGAAATTTTTTCTCTAATGAAAATTTTTACAAAATTAAATTTCCTATCAAAATTTAGTTTCCGTCAAAAGTTTTAACGAAAATGATTTCTTCCATCAAATGTTTTAAACGAAAAAAGAATTCTGTCAAAAAATTTTACGGAATGTTTTTCGTTCAAAATTTCGATGGGAATGTGTTCTGACGAAGATTTCGATGAAAATTGTTTCGAGGGAAATGTTTCATCCGAAACTTTCGAAGAAATTTAGAATCTCCAAACAATTTTGATAAAAATATTTTTTTCGTCAAAATTTTTTATCGAAATATTTTTTGTCAAAAACTTTTACGAATTTTTTTTACAGAAATGTGTTCCGTTGAAAATTTTGATGAATATATATTTTATCAAAAAACTTGACGAAAATATTTAGTTGAAAATTTTAGATGTAAATGTGTTTAACTAAAAATTTTGACAAAAATTTTCTTTTGTCAAAAAATTTAACGAAACTTTTTCTGTCGAAAACTTTCGCCGAAATTTGAAATCTGTAAAGAATTTTGATGAAATTTTTTCCATCAAATTTTTTTTATGAAAATGTGTTTCGTCGAAATTTTTGATGGAAATTGTTTTGAGGGAAATGTTTCATTCTAAACTTTCGACGAAATTTAGATTCACTAAAGAATTTTGACAGAATATTTTTTCCGTCAAAATTTTTTATAGAAATATTTTTTGTCAAAAAATTTTACGAATTTTTTTTACAGAGATGTGTTCCGTTGAAAATTTTGATGGAAATATTTTTTATCAAAAAACTTAACGAAAATATTTAATCAAAATATTTCGATAGAAATGTGTTTCGCTAAAAATTTCGACAAAATTTTTTTTGTCAAAAAGTTTAACAAAAATGTTTCCGTCGAAAACTTTCGCCGAAATTTGAAATCTATAAAGAATTTTGATGAAATTTTTTCCGTCAAAAAATTTCGACGGAAATGTGTTTCGTCGAAATTTTTGATGAATATATTTTTTTGTGAAATATTTTCACGAAATTTAGATTCCGTAAAAATATTTGACAGAAAAACTATTCCGTCCAATTTTTTTACAGAAATATTTTTAGTCACAAATTTTGATGAAAATATTTTTCGTCAAAAAATTTTGCCAAATTTTTTTATTAAAATATTTTCTGTAAAAAAATTTTGACGTAATTGTTTTACGTTAAAACTTTTCTTTTAATGTAATTGTGATTCTTTTTTTTTTCACATAATGGGTATGGGTCAAGTTTTGGGTCAATGAGCCAATATTAAAACAAGTCAGGTCTAAAACTGACTCAAATAAAAGTGGGTCACTATTTAAACCAGTTCAAAAAATATAGGTATTTATGGGTCAGGTCAAGGTCGGATCAAGGGCAGGACAAGTAAATCAGCTTTTTTGCACACCCCTAGGGAAAGATAGTAGGTTAGAAAGGAAATCAGGTACCAAATAGTGGTAGTTCAGTTGTCGCATGAGAGCTAAGCAGGTGGGGTGAGAGCATGTGTTCGAATCTTCCCAGTACATCTTTGGGAGGGGTTTAAAGCCTTAATCTTGGACCTGCCTCGAATCGGATTAGTTACGAAGCAATGAACCGATTGAAATATTTCAAAAAAAAAAAAAAAAGGAAAGAAAAGGAAATCAGGTAAAATCGACCCAACCTAGATTATGATTGAGTCTGGCACAATTCAATACAAAAACAGGGGCATATTTGTCTCAATATTAAGTGAAGCCCAAATGAATTTTCAGTCAGTCTAACTCAGAAGCAAGGGCATGTTTGTCTTTGAATTAGGGGAAAATTAGGTTTCTAAGCCTTACCTGTTCTTGCAAGTCATGACCAACAACTACTTTTTCATTTTCACCAACCAATGCTTCACTGTTTTCAACGCTCAATTTGGCGTAGTGGGCATACACAAAAGGTACTTATCTCTGAACAAAATGGGTCTCTCCGTATTAATCTGACCAATATTAGAGATCCGACCCAAACTCTATCTTTTTCAGCCTCTTCCATGATCGGTCAATCATCAAGATCGAAAAACTTTATTCTGTTTCTGCTCAAGTGCAAGCGAAAACTCTTTCGCCAACATGTATTGTTGATTAGGGATGTACATGCACTCAACTATTTGCATTGTTGTTTTTTTGAGTTTGATCAATCATCCAACAGATCTAAGTCAATGGATAAAATATAAAGATAAAGGCTCAAGATGTGTCTGAGAATTCTGCTTTCAAGTTTCTTTTCATGTCTTCCATTGCTGCCAATGGAGAAACAATTCTCTCACTTCCCAAAGATTATTTTGTTAACAATATATGTCACCAATTTGAGGTGATATTTCATATTGGTTCTTCTACAGCACTTGCGGGTTCATCATTTTCAAATAATGTTCTGGTTGGGTTTATATCTTTTTCTAAACTAATGATTGAACTTGACTTGGTTGTGAACTATGTTAGAGGAATAATTCTTTAGATTCATGAAGATTTTGTAATTAGTGCTTATGTCACTTGTCTTGATATAACAAAAATAGTAACAAAAATCTTAGGTTCTAAATTCTACTTGGAATTTTCCCT